AAAATATCTTAATTTTTTATATTTTTATTTGTTAAAAAATAAATATCATTGATTTTATTGTTTATAAGAATCTACTATTTTATAATTTAGATTGTTCTAAATGATAAAATAAAGATTTATCTAATATTTGAAGATGAATTTATTCAAAGATTGATGTTTTATGATCTAAACTGTAAACCATTTTTTTTCATATTTATTAATTAATCAGTATTTTTCAGAAAATTAAAAGTTCGGTTTTGGAATTTTGTGGAACTGCTGACTTGAAAATTCCAAGTCAGTGTTTTTGCTGATTTGGACTGGAGTGGGTCGCGCAAGTAGTGTTACAGTTTGTGTTTACGAAGAAAGAAAGAAAACAAACCCTTTTCGCGCCGCCGTCTACTTGGAAGAATTCCAGTGAGTCGCGATCATCGTCGAGTTCGTGAACCTCGTCACCATGGCCTTCACACTCCATGACAGTGGCGCTGGCGGCGACAAACAGTATCAAAAAGTGCAGACCCACTTATTGCTTATGACAAGCGGGTTCTTGTTCCCGATCTCGTTGCCGGGACTGAACGCAACATTACGCAGAAACAATTTCGTGATTCCCATCTATTTAACCCCGATGTTCTTCCTCATTGTGGGACTCATCATCTTCACGGACTTTACCACATTCGTTATTCTGGTTAGAAAAGATGCCGCTAGAAAAGAGTCTTCCAGAAAAGGGTGTTGGCAGCACAGGACCGTTGATTACACCAGTTAGTTGAAGAACCGTTTTGGCAATGGGAAAAAGAAGAATTTGTTTTGGAGTATGCTTGATGGACACTCATGTCTGTTACCGCGATACAGGTATTTGTTTTAAAAAAAGGTTATATTTTTCCGTTATGTGAAATTTGGTTTGATTCTTTGATGAAATAAGTGACATTTAAAGTGCTTGAATTTTGAGAGTATAGAAACCAAAGCACTTAAAGTTTGAGGGTACAGGGACTGATAATGCCATTATCTCTTTTGTTAATTGTGATAAGTTGTGATTTTGCTCAAATGTTCATCTGAACTAGGCTTTTTTTTTTCTTTTGTATATCAGATGATCGGCTATATAATAGAAGATAGCCCTCCCCTTTCCAAATCTCTCCTCAAGATTTAAACTTGAGATCTCCAACATGGAGACTCAAGTTTTTAACTATTGGGACACCCCTAGAAGACTTTTGAACTGGGCATTTAGAGTTAGAGTTAGAAAATTTCACACTGAGATATCATCTTAGGAGTTAACTATCAATCTGTCAGAGTCTACTAATTTTTGATGGTTTATAATTTAGAAGCTCAAAAGGTTCCTTTTAATTGTTTGTTTGATGGCATTTCGGATTGCAAATCAAGAATAGCAACCATTCCATATACTTTATTCGGGTTGCCAAATAAAGGCTCCTTTAATCTTTTATGCTAAGGAAGAAAGGTATGGAATCAAGGGTTTTAATTTTAAAAGATGGTGATGCCTGTGTTTGGTTTTGTGCATATGTTTTAGACTTAATATTTATATTGAAAAATAAATTATAAAAATCAGTATTTTAGCAAGGAAAGCTGTTATTGGAAGCTGATTTTTTTGCTGATTTTTTTGATTTATGGTAAATAAGGCATGTAGAACCTAGATGATGATATAGCTTCCCAGTAGGATTATCCCACCACTTGGCAGCCATATCATCATCTAGGTCCTACATACCTATTTACCATATATCATTTTTAGTGTCATGTGAACAATAAGGCATGGCATTGTTAAGGTGGAAAAGCTGTAGAAATAATATAATAAAGAATAGTGTTGCTGATCATTATGCTGTTAATTTAATTCTTAAGAGCAAGGGAAAAAAAGTTTAAATCAAGAAACAAATTCTTGTAGCTTTAATTGTTGTTTGATTTTCTAAGTAAGAAGCAGGGAAACGGTTGTTTGTTTTATTACTGATGTCTTTTACTCCTTTTAAAAGATTTAAATGTAATTTTTCTATATTAACTCAATTAAAAGAAGAGAAAAGTAAAACAAAGTGGGATGATGATGTCCGCAAAAAAATAGGAAAAAAAAAAAAGAACAACAATAGAATAAGAGATAAAGTAGGATGGTCTGCCTGAGAACGAAAAAGGGAAATTTATTGGTTTAAAGAATTGTAACTGATAGGATAAGAGATCAGACACTGAAATCTGGATTGAGTGGATTAAAGAAAAAGAGAATTTTACCTCTCATTTTGTATTATGTTATGTATATTGATTATTGAGAACTGATTTGGGAGCTGAAAGTTGGACCCTCAAATATTTTTGGCCATTGATCATGTGGTGGGCCCCACATGATAAATTGCCAAGGTAATTTATGCCTACAATTCGGCCTCCAACTTTTGGCCCTCAAATAATTTTTCATGTATATTTGTTAGATTGAAATCTCGTGAAAACAGAAAAAAAAAAAGGAAAAAGAAAAAGAAAAAGGAGGAGGTTGTGAAAAAGATATATTATGTATATAGTCATAGACTGCTTATACTTGGGAGAATTTTCATGGCGATGAATTCAAATGAATGAGATAAGAATGGTGATGGAAAACCAAATCACT